ATATATATTTTGGATTTCGTATTTTCATTTCGAATTGCGGCATAAATTATGACTTACGGCTTTATTTCTACTGAAAAATCGGAAAAACCTCTACCCGGCCGGATATTACTAAATTACCCGAATCATTCGGATAAATTACTATGTCATATAATTGCAATTTCTACCCAGTACAATCCCTAAGTTTCGCATGCACTTCTTAAAATAATGCGCATCTCATGTAATATGTCAGTGTGTTTATTATATAATACTAATCAAATTTTGAAATTAACCTTTTTAAGCGTATTCGAAATAACCGCAGGTGATCGAAATAGCAGATGCCTGTTATTTTGAGAATTTGCGGTAGTAAGTTGTGCCACGAGATTATAGTATGATACGAGTGACCGAATCAGTATGGTACGGACCGAAATTATAATACTATACTAATCAGCTATAATTGCTAATCCTAACGCTATTTTTAAATTTGGCCTGCTCTATACCCCATATCATACTGAAGCAAAACCTTGTAAACAATGATTTAAATTGTAATTCATATTTGGTTTTCCCATTTTTAAAATGATGAATTATAATAATTCGGTGCATCATAAAAAATCAACTAATTTAGACCTTTATGACTTCGGATGCAATTATCAACATGAGACAGGGGTTGAAAAGGATGAACATAACGATAAGACATTTATTTATTATAAAAAAATCAGCAGAAATGGGAAATGATAGTGGAATCCGCTATCATTTCCCATTTTCTGCTGATTTTTGATAACAACATCCAACTGAAATATTTCACTAAGTGAAATATTTTTGTTGGAAATTGTTATCAAACGAAATCGGGGTTGAAAGGGATGACTGATATGATAATGCTCTTAGAACATATAATACTGGTTTTTTTTTATTAAATGGATTTTGAATTAAAAAGGATAAGAATAATTCATTTAAGCTTATCTATTATCAAAAATCAGCTAAGAGGGGTAATGTTCACAATTATCAAAATGGAAAAATTAGCAGAGATGGGAATGCTAGTGGATTTTAGTCTTGCTACATCGATAAAATTGGAACTAAGAACATGAGGATCATCAAAAATCTGCAGAGATGGCGTTGAACATTTGTTACCAAAGTGGGGTTGGAGTTGAAAAGGATGAACATAATGCGTTCATTTATTATCAACAATCTGCAGAGTTGGGATATGTTTCTGGAGAAAATAAGAAACTTGCAAAAGACCGATGATGGTATCAGATATAAGTTACTGTATTTTTTATTACAATAATTATAATCTTTTAGTAATTATAATTTTAAACAATTGATTTAGAGAACGAAAACAAATGTGAAATATCAGAATGTGATGAAATTTACACGTCTAAAATTTTTTTGGGAGCATTTTTTAGGACTTGGGAAACCCAAGGTTTTAAACATTTAGGTTGCATTAAAATTCAATAGAGTATAAATGAAGAATTTATAAATGAGATAAATTTATTTATCGTTATGTGCTAAAGTGTTTAAATTACAAAACTATAATTTTAATATTTTTATTACTAAGCATATTGTGATATTTGCAATACGTAAAAATCCGTCATTTTTAAAATAATAGAAATATCAAAAGATGATCATCTAGAGAGATTATATTCTCGTTTTACAATATGCAGAAATAGATTCTTTGCGTAACAATCTCTTCACTATAGCACAAATGGAGAAATATTAACTTTATTGCATTATATTGCTTCTGATCTTCATATAATTCATTTTCAAGAACATATTCATCGAGATTTGCATAGTGGTAATATTTTACAGGATAATTTACATAGCGCATATATTGTAAACTTGAGATATTAAATACTAACACGTTGTGGTACCGAAACTGCCGTATACAAGACCCGGTTCTGGTACATTTCACCAATTTTAAAATCTCTAATAGATAACATGCATTCTAGATATTGAAAAGAACTGTAATTAAGTAGATCTTGTGATTAACAATCGGGCCTAGTACATAGTGGGTCTACTATTCGAAGATCTTTTATACGGCTTTTCGGGTATTTATGGAATTTTACTGTATATAGCACCGAAAACCGACAGAGGTCAAAACTTCAAATAGAAATATGTCAATGTAATTTACGACCAATAATTATTAGAACACGCTCAATATTACATAAGCATAATGAAGAAATGTTTGGGAAGAGAACCAATTAACTGCCCATTTGCAGTAAAAATTAGTGAAATCCCTTATATAATAGGGGATGTTAAGTGGTCCACGGAGAACTAATTCAGGCCGAGTCTGGACCGGACTTTTTAGGGACTAGTTCAGAACTAGTCCGATCTAAATGGATTATAATATGTACGGAAACGAATTCAATATCGATATAATCCATGTAATTACAATTAAAACAATAATTGTTCATTATTGTTCTATAAGTTAAACTACTAGAGTAGGACCGATTTTTAACTATTTTTATGGCAGGGAGTGAACTTGTCACTTAACTAGTTCGGACCCAGGTTTTTTAGGGACCAGACCAGACGCAATGGTACAGAGATGAAAATATTTATCAGAATTAATTAGATCAGATGAAATAATATCGATATTAAAATTAATTTATCCGTGTAACCTTTTAATGTATAAATTAATTAAAATTTAAATTTAATTATTTTTTGATGTATAAATTATAATTATTTAACAGATAGCGGATTAAATGAGTTGAGTATTACAGGATGAATGGAAATTGGCAATCTTTTGTCGTTATCGTAATTCAAAAATATTTGTATAATCCTCGATTATTATCTCTAATCACGGGACCATTGTTAAAAAACACTTATGCTTTTTTGTCATTATTGTTAAATAAGTCCAATTTCGAGCATCAGTCAATTTTAATATAAGTCGTGACCAGAGTTGGCAGTGGATTACAATGGATTGAGCTCCATTGAATCGCCAAATTGCCAACCCTGGTCGTGACATATACTTATATATCATAGTACGGCCAAGTATTACGTATAATATTTATGTTTGTCATGCAATACGATGTATATGTCATTTATACTACGTAGTATTATTAGTATTATAACTATTATAACTACACGAGTTAAAATTTTTTTTAAAAAAACAAATAGTATAATTTATGATCAATGAACACAGTGCTATTACCAATATAGCATGATAATTCCAAGATACTTTACATGGATATAGTGAAATTTTTTTGATTAGTCAGAGAATGCCACCTCGCGGCATCCTCTGATCAAAAAAATTATCACTGTGCCAATGTGATGTTATAATATTATATTGTATTTATACTGGTTATATATAATTCTATAATTTATATTATGCATTTGCTATCACATCTAAACTTAATTGGATTAGTGCATATAACCAGTAATATCTTTTATATACCATTTATAGTTCGATAAAATCTACATATGTAAAATCGTTACAACATTAATACCGATATATCTTAAATAATTTTCTACGTTATTCTATATCTCTAAATTTGAATGCTTGGGTTTGTCAAAGGTAACACTCAGTAATTTAACAGTATTTTAATATATACATATATACATAAATATAACGGTAGTGGTAAAAAATAGAATCACATGTGCAAGAGTTTTATGATACGTATTATAAACTCTCTCTATATTGAGTAATAATCTCTGGAATAGTAGTTTTAGTATAGAGAACCATCTTCTAAAAAGAGAATCAGTGTAAAAATATAATTTTTTTCCCATGCGCCGTCAGCTTCGTACCCCAGCGCCTTCGTCTACGCTCCACAAGGAAGGGCGTGATTGGCTAAATTTTTATTTGAGTGACACCAAACAAAGACTTCAGGCTGCTTGAAGTATCTGTATAATTGAGTCAGATAACGGTGTTAAATGATAAATTTAAAGGTCTAAGTCTGACTTCACTCATTTATTAATTCCTTTTACGCATAAATTTCTTGTACGCGTAGGCTAGAGTTTATCAAGAGCAATATCCGGATGTTCAAATATTTAGTACTTAATGCCTCTGATTCACTAACCCTAAATGAAATGATTACTTCCAAATTAAAATTGGGAAGCGAATATTTAAGTTTTCATTTATCCTCTGAAAAACAAATCGATATTACGTTATTTAATCATCTGTGCAAATCAAAAACAAACTTTATCTATATTATTATCCTTATCAGTTATGATGAGCGTTGACATGAGGGCAAAGAAACATACAATTTATTAAACAATTAGAAAATTAACACTATGAATTCGAAGTTCGTTTCATTCTTTTGCCTAATTTCATTGTCATAATTATGTAAAGAAATCAATATATATCGCATGGTACTTAAAATGTTATATGTTATTAAATTCCCTTAGTACGTTTAAAAAAAAAACTTTAAATCCTTTAAAGTTTGATAAAATATTATCAAATGACACGTGCTATAAAAGCGGATCGTATATGCGATTCAATCATGTAATATCTCAATTCTCCAAGCCTAGGTTCGTTACGGTGAAAGCTTAAATTTTCAGCTCAAATAGAAATGCCGTATTTAATCATGTGCTAAAGTATTGGTCAAATTTTTCTACACATGTTCTGTATAACAGTATAAAGACTTTATTTTATTACATAATAAGATAAATCATTTATTATAAGCCGGATCCTTAGAACAGCCAGTCTGGTATAGAAAGAGGTGGCTGTAATGTGTACCCACATTCCTATCATTCCCGTCTATAGCATAAATTGCATACGAGATAATTATTATCAATCACGTATACTCCCGAGAGTAACGCAATACTTGTACTATGATATTCGGAAATATCAATATGAATGAAGAACTTATCACATCTCGTGGAATTACGTAATTTTTATACTACGCTAACACCAAGTTCCAGGTATATCTTTTAGTGCACAGTGATGTATGTATGCAGAGTACATATGCATATACAATACTTAGTACTCTAAAAATCTAGTAAGAACCTTCGGATCTTTGAATGTCAGGGCCGCTCTTTGTGGCGCACATCGACTATGCTATTCATATTGATGATATGCAGTAAACAAATGCATGTCATCAAAGAATCGAAAAAGAAAACTTGCAATCGAACCTTGTATAACACATTTAAGTTACCTTCAACAGAAATTTCCAGCTTTAGGTTTTTTAGTTGCGGGTCAATTCATATTGATTGAAGGTATTTAACACGGTTTTCTTTGGATGATAAAGTCAAGCTGTTGAAAAAAAAAAATTAACCTACGATTCATGTGAATATTAATGCATAAAACTAAAATCCAAAAAAGAAAAGAAAGTACAATGTTCCCTTAGGAAACACCAGTTAATTGAAACATTGCAAAATCAGATAATATTATTGGATGTAGAATATGCAGATTATGCAAGTTGACACATTCACTATTCATGGAGAATCTCAAAAAAAAGAAAAAAAGATTTAATTCATCATCATATGCTAATATTGCTAATATACTATAATATAAAATGGTATTTTATATTTGTAGATTACGCTTACCTTTTTTGTAATGTGTTATATTCTGTAAAAGAACAAATAGGTGACAAAGTTCTAATTGTTTTTGTTTAATGTCTCATTAATATTAAAATTATTACGTACTGTACATCAACTCCACAAAATTATTTAATGACATGAACCTTTTTGAAAAATTTCTTGCCAAAATTTGTTTGTTTATCTATTATATCTGTTTTGGTTGTTTTCTTTTGTGCCGGGTCAATTTGTAATAATTATTACTGAAAAAACCCAAAATTTATTGGCTCGTTGTTACGATTCATCCCTTTTTTGCTAGCAATTATTATGGAAACTTTTCCAAATTTTGATTATCATGATTTCAAATTAGGCTTTTTACCGATGAATTCTCAAAAACAACACAATTTTAATGGTAAAAATTCTTCTATGTCTAACGATTACCAGCAACAGACTATCACTCTCACTTCATCAAACAATTTGGCTTCTGCAAATTCCCTAAACTTTTCTCAGCAGTCTACCGTTTCTTTCTCTTTGAACGATATGTTATCAAATTCTGGTTCTGACAATAATTCTTGTTCAGAATCAGTAATGATGTCTCCTTATTCCGTTATTCTAAACTCTGGAGAGTTAACGATGGATGATGCTTTCTTCGAAGACTCTGAGGTTGCATTTTCTATTAACAATAAAAATATTTGTATAACTGGATAAATCATTTTTTTGATCTTAACTTTCATGTTATTTAGTTTTTTTTCGAACCTTTGGAATCTCCGGCTTTAGTTGATCCATATATTTACTTATCTCCTGCTTTAACCTCTTCAATATCGCAATCGGATCAAGCTATGTGTTTATCTGATAACCTGGCAAGACAACCTAATCAAAATAACCAAAAACTTGAAAGAAATAATTCCTTGGAACAAATTCGAATAAAAGATTCTATTCGTCACAATGATAATAACTCCAATACTGATCATGATAATAACAGCATTACGAATAACATAATACCAACTATAATGACAGGTTCTCCTTCCATACCACCAAATTCGAGCATGCCGTTGGCGTTACCTTCGGCAAATACTATGATAACGTCATCCCCAACTGCGCAGGAACCTATGCCAAACCTGTCCCTTGGGAGTAACCTTGTATCTGAAGCAGTGTCGACCCAATCTCCATATACTCTTCTACCCACTACAACTTCTAATAATCCCACTTTATCTGATAAGATTGCTCCAATAACACCATCTTCATTGATGAAATTGAATGAGAATCCCTCTTCACCCGGATCTACTCAAAACGCTCAAAAAATTGACAAACAACAGAAACAAATCATACAAAGTTCTCGAGTATCAAATGAGAAACGTACTTCTAACAAAGAATCTACTTTCGTAGTTCCTCCTCCGCCGACACAGTCAAGATCTATCCGGGTTACAAATATTGATGTGTCGCAACATATGCGAGCCGTATCCCCAAACACGTCCCCAGTATCACCAGGAACGAATCCAATGTTAATGTCACCAATGATTTTACCATCACCTCCGCCTGGAAAAAGGATTATTCATTCAAATCAGTCAGTTTGCACTCCATCCACTCTTAATTCTTCAAAGAGTCCTCAAGCTTTGAAACCAACAATAAGTCCAAATTTAAAGCCAAGATTATCTGGTGTAACAGCCGATGACGCGGCAGAACAATTGGCAAATAAGTCGAATTATGTCAGTATTTTAGAGGGTACAGCGAAGTATGTATTAAAATAATATATATATATTAAATTTATTTATCGTAATAAACACTTAGCTAATTTTTTTTTTATGTGGTAAAAGATCTCTTGGTATTTCCTATTCCTCTGATGTACATTCAAGTCTAGAATCTCGACGCACAACTCATAAAGCTGCTGAACAAAAACGAAGAGATTCACTAAAACGAAGCTTTGATGAATTAAAAAAAGTTATACCAATCAACTCGACATCCAGTAATACTAACATAAATAATAACGGATGCGATGGAAACAATAACAGTTCAATATCGGGCAAAATTGTTGACAATAATGGATCGATGAAAAATGTTTCAAAATTGTTTTTATTAAAACGAGGTAAGTGATATATATACTCCATATTCTTAAATGATTTCGTTAACTGATTTTAATATGTTTATTTATTGTTATACACATAATAGCACATGACCATATTATAGAGCTTCAACAACAGACAAAAGAAAAAGACTTGATCATACGAAACCTTAGGAACGAAATTGATGAACTTAAAGTAGTAAAAAGGCAAAAAGTTGATCAGATTCAGCAAGATGATAGTGCAAATATACAAGATAATAATTAATATATATATTTCTTTAAACAACCGTTTTTTAATTGGTAATTTCGTAATTTCGATTTAGTGTTAGTAATATACATTTTACAAAATCCTATTTTATTATATAAATTATATATATGTGTGTTGTATGGGAAATAGAATTATTATGGGTATAGAGTCTACATATGTTAATTCCAAAAAAAAATATAAGTTGTAAGCAACAAAAATTAAGAATTCTAATTTAAGTAAACCAAAATTAAGAAAATTTTAATTTGTTTTTAGAATTTAAGTACTTTAAGATAATGTTTAGCTGGCAAAATATTATATCAGATAATTTTATCGTATTAAGATTGTACTAAGAATAAATTAAATTTATTGTTTTAAAGCCTACAAATTTTTATATCTAGTATTATTTTCCTATCTCTCAAATATAAAAGTTATATAAGTTCTGTTACATATGTAGATACTGTATATAGTATATTATTTAATAATATTATTATATATAAATATTTTTGGAGTATATTATTATAAAATGCATCTATAGTGTTTAGCTTATAGGTGCATTTTAGCTTGATTTATTTTTCTATTTAAAATAATATTTTTACATACTTTATAAAATTTATTGCATTATAATTAATTTTAAAAAACTTTTTATATAAAAATTATCTTTAAATAGATTTAGATTTAAATTAATATTTATAAAGTTTATTAAGAATTGGTAAACAATTTTTAATTAAAAAAAATTTTTTTAAAAAATTGTCTTTTTAAAATACAAAAATATAAATATAAATACTACTATTACAATCAGAACCTCTCTAAGTGCGGACCACACTTTAATAATGTGTATTTAAAGAATAATAAGAAAAGATGCATTTATAGAGGTCAATTATACATTTGGGCCAGCACTTGAGCGCGCATTTAGAGAGAATGTACACTCATAGAGGGTGCATATAGAGAGATCTGACTGTATACAGTCTACTCCCGCTATAGTCACAGCCTGGCAGAAACTTTATGTGACTATAGTGAGAGAAACATAATAATAGTCACCTTGCGTGATTATAGAGAGTTAATTTATAATATATATATATATATATATAACTGTAAATGATTAGTATATAGTCTCGAGAAATTGTGACTATTTCGGATGTGACTATTGCAGGAGTAGACTGTATTTATTTAAAAGGTCTGATAATAATATGTCTTTATCTTTTTCGACTCTAATTATACTTTGATAATATTCCATTAGCATTCCTATCTTTGCTAACTTTGAATAAATGAATTTTCATAACAATATCCAATATTATATGTTACAATACAGTATGTTGCGCCAACCCTGCTGATTTTTGACCTTACATTAATCTACAATAAAATCCAACATTATATATTCCACTACAGCACTAGCGTTTTCCATTTCTACAAGTCAACCTTAATTCCATTCAATAACAAAATCTTTATTTCCAATCACTTTTTCATATAACAACCTTACATCTAGATCAGCAGATTTCTGAGAATATCAATTCTAACCTTCATTTCGTAAAATATTCGAGACTATTAATCTCTACATCTTCCCGAATTTTTATAATCCTTTTCTTTCAAATTCCTATTCTATGTTTATAACAACTTATTCTATTAGAATCTCAAATATCACTAAGTTAGATAATTAATCCAATATGTTCATACTCACAGTTTGAGTTGAAACTCATTCAAATTTTTAATTCCATTTGTCCATCTTTTATTAACAATGTGCACATTTTTTCGCATATAAAACATCTCAACCCACTTCTTAATTATATTAAATAACTTCTATATTCACTAAATTAGCACTAAATAAAGGTAGCATTGCTTGCTGCATAAAAATAATTGCAAACTTGAATCACTTAAGTTAAATAATTAATTAAAAGGATCTTTATACTCAACTAAACTAAATCAGCTCGAATAAAATAAACTTAGAGAGTAGCATTGTGTAGGTTAAATAGGTTATTTTGAATACGCTGACTAAAAAGATCCCTATACTGTACTCATCAATCAAAATAGCGTGAACGATTGAAGGACTGTATTAATATCCACAAGCTGGAATCACTTATTCTAAATAATCGACTATTATATTACTGTAAAATTAGTTGAACAACGTATACAAATTAACGTAACAATTGAGAGAATCGATGTCGATATGGTGTGTCAGAAACTTAAATTTATAAGCACGCGGTTGATCTATTGACTCATGGATTGATCCACAGACTCGCGGGCTGCCCATCCATAGTACAACCTCTGGTAGTGTTCCAATCGAAAATCGATTAATCGTTTAGTTGATCAAGTTGACAACTAATCAATTTATAATTTTACTAAACAATTAGTCGATTGACAATAATTAATCGATTAACTAATTCATCGAATAGTTGTTTTTATATAGCTGAAACTAAGAAATGTAAAATATACTTTGAGACACGTTTTGTTTAAACCATTTTTGATTTTGCAAATAGCAAAATATTTGTGGTTTGTTTAGTAATATGTTTATTTTCTTGAAAATTCATTTAAATTTAATATTAGAGTATATATTGTTAAAATTATATGACCTTTATGATAAATTTATAATTTATTAATCTTATTTAATTATATATATATATCATAAAATTTTCAAGACCGGGGTGATCGATAATCTATACCGTATTTGCGCGTAATAACGCGCAGGGGTGTAATTTCGAATTTCGGCCTAAATTAAGCTTACAGCTATTTTCATAATTCCTGGGACACCTGATAAAATTTGCCGAATGATTTTTCGGCCGATCCGGTTAAGTTATTGATTTCAGGAATAAAGATTCAATAACAGATCAGATATACGTAATTTAAGATCAGGCGAAACACTTAGGTGTTAGCTAGTCCTCTATAAGTCACGAACGATATAAAATATCTTAAAACCTTAACGAAAGAAACCCTGACTGGTATTTGTATGAACTACAATCGGAAATAGAACTTTGATTGGATATAAGATATACACATAAGAAAGTATTATATATATATATATATATATATTTTATAAATTTACATCCGTGCTTTTATATTTCTTGTTGAGATTTATTGGTTGACAAGAATAATCTTTTTCATAAGTTTCCGTACAAACTAAATACACTAACGAAATTTAATAACGTTGAATGTGTCGATATTATAACTAGTACTTACATGTGATATGAAAATATTTTTTATATACTGATCATGCCGAAATCAATAAATTAACCAGATCGGCCGAAAAATCATTTGGCAAATTTTATCAGGTGTCCCAGAAATTATGAAAATAGTTGTAAGTCGGGCCGTGGCTCACCGGCCCGCTATTACGCGAAAATACGGTACTCTAAAATATAGACTTTATGATATAAGGCAACTCGTCAGAGCGTGACGTTGGTGATTTAGGTCATACAGTCGACTCTGGATATATCGAACCCAGTGTTTGCATTTGGACTATGTCCATATTTTTAAAAAAATTTGGACATAGTCCAAATGTATATGTCCAATTGAAAAATGACTATGTCCATATTTTGGTCCAAATGCAAACACTGATCGAACCTGCTTATACCGAAACCGAGCTATAATGAACCGGATTTGGCAGAGCGGACTTTTTATAATAAATTATGCGAACTTAAATAGTAAATCTTTAATATACCACATCCGAACCCTTTTTTACCTATATATACATATCCCGATATAGCGAACTATTATATTGGGTCTTTGCCTTGAAAATGACCTTACGGTACATGATACCTTAAGGTCATTTTCAAGGCAAAGACCCCATATACCTTCGCAGATATGTATGTCTGTGAAGTAATATTCCGAAAAGAAAATGGATGAACACAAAATATGAGCGAGGTTGAGACAAAATTTCGAGTAAAATCCAAAATTTTCTGAAGGCATTTTGATAAAGCTTGGTTTTGTGAGAGATTTTATTGGTTAGCTTTATATACTGAACAGTGCGATATAGAGAGAGTAAATTATATAACGAACTTACTCTGGACCGAACAAAATGGTCCAGAATTTGCAGTTCGGTATATCCAGGGTCAACTGTATAATAAAAGAGAAATTATTATTGGGTTAGTGAGCTTATGTGCCCCTACCTCATACATAAGTGTCGTAATCAGCGTTAACTAAGTTATGTTCCTTTTTATAACTTTAAAGGACTAATGAAGCCTCACCTTATTTATAGTGACATGATCCTTTATCACGACATCAGATGATAAATTCTATCACTATAAATTATCTAAGCCTCCGCAATTGAATTACGAACCAGTTTGTCTATTACCCTGTGACTGTAGTTAATATAAAAATATCAAACATTATAATTAGAGAAGTTTCAAAATTATATTCAAGCTATTTTGAAATACCAACAAAGAATTTTATTTTATATTATTAAATTTTTTTTTAGCCTGATCACCAAATTCAATCTTATAAGAATTATTACATGATTTAGAAAATTAATTTGCTTATTACTGAAAGAATCAAATAAAAGCACAAGGAGGTTAGTATAATTTTTTTATTGGAAATATATATATATTTTTAGTTATAATAAGTTTATATATTGTACTTTGTGCATCCAAAGCATGTTCCGGATAATAATTTTTGGCCATTAGAAAAGTTTATTTTAAAAAACAGCTACTAAATAAATATATCATATATACTATATATATATAAATATAAATATATATAAGCTTTATTATAATATTAGTTGATATATATAATGTTGTAGTGAAATCTAAGTATTTTACCCAATCTGAATCTGAAATATAGGCAATATTAGTTTCACCTACATTTAAATTTCCAAAATTCTGATAAAATCTATAATTTCCCAAATTTTAAACTCAATCTGAAATATTCAAAAGTGTTCAAAACTGTATTAAGCACATGAATCAAATCTGGCCAATAATATTTGTTTTTTACCATATGGAAGAAAATGATTATTAATAAATAATTGGCTTTTTTTTCAATAAAAGTAATGAGCAAAATACATATCTTACTTAAGCACAATGGTGTTAAAATGAAAA